GTTGTTATCATGGGTTTCTAAGCAACCAAGAGTGAGTCGGAGGGAGACAGACGTTTGTGCTGGACTTTGCTCCTGGCAGCTGACACAAAATGTTTATTCTTTAGCTTGCCCTGATCGACAGCAGCCTGTGTGCCAGACCATAGACGTAATTGAGGTGGATAGTTGTTAAACGTAACCTACATTAAGCTTGTGGTTGCTTAAATTCAGTACAATGACATGTGAGGTGAAGTGATATAGGTAAATATTTAAATTAATGAAGTGCATAGAGGCACTTGACCTGTGTGAAAGACTGTCGTCTTATTATGAGCCATTGTTGAGATATGGAGCACACCTGTGAAAACAACTAATATGCTGAACCCTGTATGAAACATCTAAAAGTACATGATGAAGAAGCTTGCCTACTTGTGTCTTGCTTTGCAGTGTAATTATATTGCCTTCAACGTTCCAGCGGATGGGTTCAAGCTACAAACCTATCACCAGGGAAGTCTATGCTTTAAGATGTACACTGGCACAGCTGAGGACCTTTTTCTCTCTTGTCATTCTTCCTTGTGGTCTTTGACTTTTTCTTTTCTTTCTTTTCTTTCTTTTCTTTCTTTTTTTCCTTTTTCTTCTAAAGGGGGTAAAGGAAAATAATTTCCTTCTGGGCAATTCCACCATCTTTGTTTTATCATTTCCATGGATTTATTATTATTGTTGTTATTATTAATAATAATATTATTTACATAATATTATTATTTATTTATTTATTTTTTAAATCTCCCATTTCAGAGTGAATGAACACAGTTATAAACTGATTCACGCAGAACAGACATAAAGCAGATGTTTACTGTTGCACCAAGTATAATTTAATCTGGACTTCTTGTGATAATGTGTATGTGTATTTGTATAAAGTGTGTGCTTGAATGCAAAATATAATTTGTGTAGCTTAAGTATAAACAACAACAAAAAACATTGAAACTTACATTTCATGATGACACAAAGTGTAATGGAGAGAATCAAAATGAAGAGAACAGAAGATGAAGCCGCAATTATGGTGGCTCCACTGGAATCTGTAATGAAAGAAAAATATTACACCACAAAAAATCTGAATGGTACAGTACTAGGATTTCTATGCA